TTCTATGTTGGCATTAACCAATAATAATGAACGCATTAAGAAAATAACATATTATTAATTTGGCCTGCCTCTGTCAGATTTGTTCATTTTGTGATGATATCCTCAATTCTCTATTTTTGGTGAATTTTTTTGTAACAACTCAATTGCTTTGATACTTGGTAAGTATGGCTCAAATTGAGATGGCAGTTTCCAAAAAGAAGTCTTATGGGTACGTGTCGCTTGTTCCAATATTTCGCTATCTTCTTGCATATTAAAGTATCAGAAGATTTTAACATTTATTTTATACTGAAATACAAAGACTGTAGGTTACCAAATTACCATTTTTTTGTTAGCCCAACGCCAAGTGTATTCCAAGTGCAATGTAAAAACAACACAGACCATCTCGTTCCTAACTCTTCTGTTCTCAGCGTACTGTAAATACGTTAATTATTTATTAATTTCGCTATTATCATTGATAAGTAATTTGCTAAAATAAATCTATGTGAACATGTTAAATAACAATAAAACTCCTTGAAAAATTTGTAAAATTAAAAAACAGTGAATATGCTAAAAACATTACATTAGTGAAATTAAATATCAGTGAAAATAAACAGTTTTATAGTAGTACCACAGGTTTGGGGAGATTTTGAACATTAGATGTCATCTTGTTCATGTTTTCATTATTACATGATACCGAAAATGAAATTTGAGTCAGGAAAAAAAGTACAAAATGTCACGAAAAAAAAAAGTTGAATAATTAAGCTTTTTTGCACTGGTTTCTATAGTGTGAATTTATTTTGTCATATCTTGAAATATTGCTTGGTAACATGGTATGAGAAAGTCGCGTGATAGCTCATAATACCTGTAGGTATAATGTCTAAACTGTTCAGCTATTACCTATAGTGAGTTTTTCAATTACTAGAAGCCACATTTTAAGCTAAGGAAACAAGATTTTTTCACTGGAATTAGAGAGGACTTCTATAGTGTCAGGATTGTTGATAAATTGAAAATTAATTTCCTGCATCAATGGTTGTTGTATCTTCAGTAATTTTTTTCAAAAACCTTTTAGACATACTCTACAAGAACATCAAATACTCATCAGTACACACAGCAATGTAAATCAATCAGATATGTAATGATTTAGACTTTTTCTTGTCAACAGCTAATGATCAGCTACAGTCTATGTAGCCTTCCAAAGTACAAGAGGAGTATGTATAGTATATGGAGCCTAAAACTATTAATTTAACTATACAGTTAAAGGGTGATACCGGTAGTCGTCGCGCCATGCATGTGCAGATATATGGGTCTCATATAAACAAAGATGGCGACTTTGACTGTTGTGCAAATCAACGAGTACAAAATGAGACGTTACCAGGCTTTAATTAGGTATTGTTAGGAAGGTATCAAAGGAGTCCCCGGCAGTATTCAGTGCAAGTGCGCCCAGGTCAAACCTCATACTTGTGATTTCCTATTAGAAAAGTGCAAATGGATTGTGGGAAAATCAATGTTTATCAACAGCATTAATGTCGCACATGCACAGCGCAACGACTGCCATCCTTTGAATTAGTGATAATAATAGTTTTTCATTTATATGGAATAAGAAGTTCTGTCCCATAATGCATTGCACATACAAGCAGAAACATGCTAAATGGTGTAAAACTTAAAGATATCAATGTATTTATTGGACTAGGCCAAGTTCAAGAACAACCCTTCTCATCAGGCAGGACCAAATGAAGGAGTAATGACCATTTATTATAATGCTCACCAGCTTTGTCTTGGTTTCCATGGTGATGATGTTGTTGCCCAG